TAAGCCACGGGGTCCTTCTTTAGCAGCTTAGCAGGTTTTGAAGACAACGTTCTCTCTGGCGGCTTAGATTTTTTTATTAACGGCACCTCCTCTTCCGAATCTGAATTAAACAGCATTATTTTTTTTTTTAATGTATCCGTCCACAAGTAAAAAATACCCTGAGAGAGAAACTCTTCCAGGGTCCCTTTAGATTTAAACCAGTCTTTCTCAACCTTGGCAAATTTAAGATATCTGGACTTGAACTTTCAAAAATTGCCTGCCTAGCCCAGATTAAAAGTCTTAATAACCTTCAAACTAATTACGACTAGGCAAATGGAATTTTTTTAAAAAAAAAAACCCTGAAAATCAATTTTTTCAGTTTTTAAAATCGATTTTTGCAAGCAGATGGAGGGGGGGGCAGGAATTTTTTAAAATATGTGCAAGTGACTACAGCCTCAGCTAGGTTAAAATTCTTGTCTGCAGAGAAGCACTATGGTAATAGAAGCACCAGAAAAGAGACTAGACATTCACCTGTCTGGGATGGTATAGGTTCGTCTGCTTGAGCAGGGGGCTGGACTAGAAGACCTCCAAGGTCCCTTCCAGATTCTATTCTATTCTATTTTCTATTCTATATTCTATTCTATTCTATTCCATTCCATTCCATTCCATTCATTATCTATTCTACTCTACCCTATTCTATTCTTCATTCCTCTATTCCAGTGGTGGCAAACTATGACACGAGTGCCAGAGGCGGCACTCGGAGCCCTCTCTGTGGGCACATATGCCGTCGCCCTAGCCCCGCCTCCCCCCCGCAGCCCCCTCCTCTTCAGCAGCCCCCCCCGGAGGAGAGTCACCCTCGGGTGCAGCCCAGGCAGAGCAACGCAGCCAAACACATGGCAGCTGGACAGCAGATTATGCTGCGGGGAACGGGTGGAGGGTGTGGCCACCATGGCCTGTAGGGCCGCCTGGGCGATCTGCGGTGGGCCGTGGATGGCCCTGAGAGCGGGCAGGGTGAGGGTGGAGCAGGGCGGGGGTGGGCGGACGGAGCGGGGGCAGGCTGGAGGCAGGGCAGTTTTAGGCACTTGGTCTCTAAAAGGTTCGCCATCACTGCTCTATTCTATTCTATTCTATTCTATTCTATTCTATTCTATTCTATTCTATTCTATTCTATTCTATTCTACTATTCTATTCTATTCTATTCTATTCTATTCTATTCTACTATTCTATTCTATTCTATTCTATTCTTTTCCAATATCTATTCTAGTCTACCCTATTCTGTTCTTCATTCCTCTATTCTATTCTATTCTATTCTATTCTATTCTATTCTATTCTATTCTATTCTATTCTATTCTATTCTATTCTATTCTATTCTTATCATTATGGACAAGATCTTAGCAATCCTTTATGATCTAGTTCACAGAAAGTCCCTGAATCAAACCTCAGAATCAATGAAAGTACAAGAGATTAAAAAAAAAAAAGAATCAGAGTCCTTGGATCACATTTGCTAGTTAAACGGATGACAGCGAACTGAATGGGAACAAGTCCAACATAATGAAGCAGTGATACTAAGGTTATGTTTGAACCTGGTCCCTTCCAGGTATTTTTTTTTTTTTTTACAGTATTGTCCATCATTTCTGCCCACGATGGCTGACACTAACGGAAGCTGTAGCTCAAACCAGCTGAAAGGCACTGCATGGTAGAAGGCTTTAGTTTAAAGAGATTTTTTTGTCCAGTTAATTTCATGTGAAACCAGTAATTTTATTGCGAATCCAGGGAGGCCTTAATTCTAGATAACACATCTTACGTAATTTAGGAGTGAAAATTATTGGAGGGGGAAAAAAAAAACCTATGGAGATTTCCCAGTTGTCTCTCCGGAAAAACCTCAGCAAACAGAAATCACCGCGGAGACGTAAAATAAACCTGGAACATTAGTTATAAGGCTTACCTGAATCGTAGATGATCCTTTTTTTCTTGTTCACCTGTTTTTGCTTGAAATCACCTTCGTGAGACAAAGTTTTTACCTAAGGAAAGAGGCTCGTTATTCATCGGAACAATTCTGTCAATATTAACGCGTTTATAGAACGCTGCGTGAATCTGTAAACTTACCTTGTGGAGGATCCATTTTCATCACCCTAAACCAGGGGTAGGCAACCTTGGCTCTTTTATGACTTGGTGGACTTCAACTCCCAGAATGCCTGAGCCGGCATGGCTCAGTATGGAAACCTCTCCCTGTCCCCTCAGCATGGCTGGCTCAGGAATTCTGGGAGTTGAAGTCCACGAGTCATAAAAGAGCCACGGTTGCCTACCCCTGCTCTAAACTAATAAAGTCTACATTAATTAACATTAATTATGCTTTCATATGTTCCTCTAGGTCAGGGGTAGGCAACCTTGGCTCTTTTATGACTTGGTGGACTTCAAGAACCACCGTTATGCGGTGGTTCTCCTCCTTCCTCACCGACCGTACGCAGTCTGTATTGGCAGGGGGACAGAGGTCGACTCCTAGGCCCCTAGCTTGTGGGGTGCCTCAGGGGTCGGTCCTCTCCCCCCTTTTGTTCAATATTTATGTAAAGCCGCTGGGGGAGATCATTCGTGGCTTTGGGGTGGATTTCCATCAGTACNGTTAAGGGAAAAAAGAGAAGAAATATCTGATGTTGTAACCTGAGATTTGCACTAAAGATTTTGCTATTGAACTATTGATTAACCCAGTCACCACGTTGCTTTTTAAATACACAAATGTAAAATTGGAAAATTAATAAAATATTTTTTTTTAAAAAAAGCCTTCGTCTGATGGTTAATGAACGCAAATAAAAGTTATTTGATTTATCAAAGCCCAAGATTGCTCCGAAGGAGTTGAATTCGTAAGAGAGATTCAGCCCTCTTGATGTCACATTGATGCCAATTTTGGACACCCTCTCAGATATAATAATTATGGAAATCTCTTATGTTACCTTAGACTTCTCTTCCAACTGTAGTTCTTTAGCGATAGCCTCATCGTTGATGGTGGAATCCTTGCTTGGCCACGGCTGCATCACACCGAAAGGAGAACCACAATGAGATTAGTCCCACGTTCATATTTACGTGCTTCCTGTAACTCAGTTAAGGTGATAACGGTTTAAGGCTGGCTTGCTCTTTTGTTTTCTCCGCTGGACACATGCTCAAAAGCACTGTTCTCGTGTCCCTTGGCTTGTTTATTCATTCATTCAATTTATAGGCCGCTCGTAACTCTGCCAAGCCAACTCTGGGTGGCTGCCAGTACCACAATAAAACAATTACAGGATCAAAACATGAAAACATCAGGCGTTAAAAGGCGCAAGGTCCATATGATGAGAACCAAGGTCTAACTGAACCGGATCACAGAACGTTGTCGCCTCTACAGACAGCCCTCGACTTTCAATACTTCGTTTAGTGACCGTTCAACGTTATAACGGCACTGAAAAAGAGTGACTGGTGACCGTTTTTCTACATCTACGACCGCTGCAGCGTCCCCAATGGTCACGTGATCCAAATTCAGAGGCTTGGCAACTGGCATGTATCAAGACTGTTTGCAGCGTCCCTGGGAGTCACGTGATCCCTTTTTGCGACTTTCCGACCAGCCAAGTCCACGAGGAAGCCGGATTCGCTTAACGACCGGGTTGCTAACTTAACAGATGCCAACGATTCACTTAACAACCGGGGTAAGAAAAGTCGCTAAAATGGGGCAAAACTCACCTGGCCAATGTTTCACTTAGCGACCTAAATTCTGGGCTCAAAATTGGGGCTCGAGAACTACCTGTGGCCTGTTTACAATCATGGGTGAATTTAGGAGAATTCCTGGCTCGTAAATGATCTGCAGCAAGGAGGGGGGGCAAGCGATAGGCTGGAGTTACTCACTTCTTTTCGCTTGCTTGATACCAACTTCTTCTCCGACCGTTGAACGCTGGCAGTCCCAAAGTAATCAATGACAGATGTCGGCGTCAGTTTCACCGGAGATAAGGGTCTGCTTTTGACTTTTGGTTTGGAAGCCGGCTGGGATATTCCCGTCGTTCCTGGATTAATCTTCACCGACGTCTCAAACTGTTTAACTTTGGGGGGGTCTTTCTTCTTCACAAAGTCCTCGTCTTCATCTGAGTGACAAAAACAAAATTGGGGGGTGGGGGGGGGAAGGAACGTTTAGTGATTTCCCAGGAACAAGATGCCCAACAAGGTCAGCGGGAAGCTGATTCTAAACTCGCGACGTTGTCCAAAAAAAAAAAAAAATCACAAAGACACGGAGAGCAACTGATCAGATCACATAGAGTTCCTAAAAAAGATCTCTCAATCTGGTTCAGACTTTCCTGAATATATTCAGGAATATTGGGTATGTCTAGTTTAATGAAGAGAAGGACGAGGGGGGACATGATAGCAGTATTCCAATATCTCAGGGGCTGCCATAAAGAAGAGGGAGTCAAGCTATTCTCCAAAGCGCCTGAAGGCAGGACGAGAAGCAACGGATGGAAACTCATCAAGGAGAGAAGCAATCTAGAACTAAGGAGAAACTTCCTGACAGTCAGAACAATTAACCAGTGGAACAACCTGCCTCCAGAAGCGGTGAACGCGCCAACACTGGAAGTTTTTAAGAAGAGACTGGACAGCCATTTGTCTGAAATGGTATAGGGTTTCCTGCCTGAGCAGGGGGTTGGACTAGATGACCTCCAAGGTCCCTTCCAACTTTTTATTATTATTATTATTATTATTATTATTATTATTATTATTATTATTATTATTATTATTATTATTATTATTATTATTATTATTA